ATTGTCATCACTACTAGTAATGTCACAGTTATTGTCATCACTATTATTATTATTATTATTGTCACAGTTATTATAATCACTATTATTATTATTATTATTGTCACTATTTTTGTCACAATTATTGTCATCACCACTCGTAATGTCACAGTTATTATAATCACTATTATTATTATTATTGTCACAATTATTATAATCACCGGCAATAGACTCGTTGCCCGATATAATCAAAATAGTTTCGCCGTCCAAATGTGTAGACGACTCGCACAAATCAATCAATACATCCGATTCTTTCAGTCGGACTATCGGTGGTTCCCTGAGGTTAAGGTCACGTACTACTGGTTCAACTAACTGGCCGATTGATTGATCCGATTTACCCAATAACTATAGAAAATCAAAAAAATTCAAATTAAGTTTTTTTTTATTTTGAAACAAAAAAAAAATAATTCAACCAACCAACAAAAAAAAACTAAAAAAAATTATTTTTATACAAATTAATTGATTATGTATTAAACCTGTGTGTGTGTGTGTCTATGTGTGTGTGTGTTTATTAACTTATAATTTTAAATTAATAAAAAATAAAACACAATTAGGGTTTATATAATAATAAATGTTTATTTGGTTTATTTTTGGTGTGACAATATAGTTGTAAATATGTTTATTTTTTAGTAATACTAAGTGATCAAGTTCAATTTTTTTAATAACTGTTTTTTCCACAATGTGTTTAAAGTTTTAAAGTTTAAAATTTTAGTCAACAGTAGTAAAGTTTCAAATAATTTGGTGAAACCTATAGAGACATCTATTGACTGATAATATCAATGCAAATAATTTAAAAAAATTTTGGCGCAATTTTAATGTATTTTAGTATAATATATACGTTAAGTATTATTATTAATAATAATCATTATTTTCTGTATTATTATTAAATAATTTTAATTATTTAATAAAAATTTATAGTATTATATACAACTACAGCAACAAAATTATAATTAACTAATTAATTTAATAATTAGTTTAAAACAGTTTATTTTTTTATCAAATTTGTTAAAAAAGTAAGTAAATAAATCATTTATATATTTATATTTTATTAATTGACTACACTTTTAATAATTTTATTAAATGACTATACTTTTTATAATTAATAATAATTTTTTAAAATAATATCTTTTTTTAATTATAATTTTAGGATTTTACACATAATTAATTAGTTTGTTATTATAATTATTAATTGTGTCATGGTAGTGTTAATACTGATAGATTTAATTGATAGTGTTACTTAAAAAAAATTATTAAAATAAAATAAAATTTGTTAGATTATTTTGTGTGCCAAAAATATGTTATCACACATTTTTTTAAATAATAAAATTTATATCAAAAAAACTTAATAAATGTCAAAATATTAATTTTTAATTTAATTATTTTATTTTTTTTTAAAAAATATTGTTAAGTGTCCAGTTATGTTTTTTTAATTATTTAGTATTATATAGCTATTATTATAATTATTATTATCAAACTATAATTATAAAAAATCAATTATATTAAAGAAATAATAATTTATATATTAATATTAATTTTTTAAAAGTTTTTTTTTGTTTTAAACTATTATAGCATTTATATTGATTTATAACAATTATTTAATTTTTTATAAAATATATTATAATATATTATAATAATAATAATTATTATTATTACTATAAATGGTAATAATATTCAATCATAATTAGAATTGTTGAATATATTTATATAGTAAAAACTTATATATATATTTAACATAGATATTGCCATAAAAAATTAAATCAATCAATATATATATATAAGTTATATAGTTTAAAAAATTTTAGTATATAGATGTACTTGACACAATTTTATTATTATTATTAATACTATATTAATTATATAGTTTAGTATACTATAGATAATATATATATATATAATATTACATATTTATGTATTTTATCTTATTATAAGATTCTCATTAATATTTATATGTATTAAAACAGTAATATATATATACAGTATATTATATATTTATAATATATATATATATATTTGATTTTTTTTTAAATAATTATAACTAATTAGTTGATTGCAACAAAAAAAATTGTTTCAACACTTAATATGTCTTTATTTTTTGTAAATATATTATTAATAACTTTTATATTTAAATTATAATTATTAAAACTAAAAAAAAATTATAGATTTTATTTTCATCAAATATTTTTATTTTTAATAAATTGCAATATTTTATGATTTATTTTTTACTCATTATTTATTATTATTATTATTATAGATAAATAAAAAATAAATTTTTAATTCATCACATGCTCTCGTGTTTTATTATTTTTTATTTTATTTGTTAATATTGTTTTTAAATCATAATTTAAATATTAAATCAGAATTAACCTTGATAATATATATATATATATATATTTAATTGTAATCATCTATATTCAACTTATAAATATTTATATATATTAAATAAATACATAAACAAGATTAAAACTTTTATCATTAATAATAAACAATTATTATTTTAGTTATATATATATTATACACAATATTAATGATATTTAACTTAAATGTTATACTAAACACACACACAAAAAACATGTATTGATAATTGAAAATCATTTAATGTATTTTTAAAAAAATAAAATAAAATAATGATATAATTATTGTTTGTTAAACTTAATAATAATGTAATTAATTGAAGGCTATTAGCTATGTGTGCGCACAGGTATCTCAATATATATATACAGTATATATACAGCAATTATTTATTAACTAAATGTTTGAGCTATTAATACTGTATTTAATGAAATTTTAATTGATTTTATTTTGAACGTTAAGACATCAATGCAAACAATTATTACACAAAATAAAACAAATATTAGTAATGAATAAAAAAAATTTCTTATTAGAAAAAGTCATTCAGATATTTGTAATAATAATAATAATATAATTATTTATATCTATATTATCTTTAATAATAATAATAATTGTTTGACTACTCTCTCTACCTAACCCTGGGATATCCACTAGAGAGTAGTTAGTAGATAGTAGTGATAGTATAGGGGGAACGGTATGTATGTAGTGTTGGCAAAAAAGAGAAATTTATAAAATAATAGAGAAATTTCTAGAAAGTTTCTAAAAGAAATTTCTATTTATGGGATCCCCATGGTTAGTTTTGTTTTCTCGATATTTGTTATCTTTAACATTGTTTTTATAAGTAATATTTAAATGTTATTATTAGAATTTTAATTATTAATTAAAGTAAAAAATTAATTTATTTAATTATATTAGACTATGGTATAATAAAATGGTGAATAAAATTTTACAAAACATTATTATTAAATAATTATAATTATTTATATATCTATCCCATTTGTATATTAGTATTATACAGTAATCTATATTAATATGTAGTCTCATTAATATATTTATAGTTTTACAATATCTATAGATATGGGGATCCCATAGTATAATAAAAAAGTTAAATTTCTATAGAAATTTATTACTGAGAAACTTTCTAGAAACTTTCTCAGGGAAATTTATTAGAAACTTTCTATTTGCCCATCTCTATATGTATGCGTATTTGATAGCCTTCATCATTAAAAAATCATATGATATATCAATCATATATGTATTAATAAATAAATTTATATATATATAAATGTGTTATAAATTATTGTCGTTTTTCTATTTGTTTTTGTTTTGTTGTTATTAACATTGAAAGATGTGTTATTAAATACACACCAAAAAAAATAATAAAAATAAAAAATTATTATTTATTTCATGTGAAAACTTTAATAAAAATTAAAAATTAGAAAAATATTTCAACTATTTTGTTGTTGTAATAGAAATCTTTCATTTGAACAAAAAATAATAGTTATTTATTTAGTTATTTCTCAATAAATTTTGATTTTTTAGTGATAAATCAAATGTTGATGCAATATGTAATAGAAATAATAATAATAATAATAATTATTATTATTTTTTTAATTTTATTCATTAAATTGTTATTTAAATATTTACGATAAGTAATAGCAAATATATTGCTATTTGTTTTTTTTTAATAAATATTTTACAATAATTATCTTATTTATGATGTATTTAAATAAATATAGTTTTACTGATAAATAAATAAATAAAATAATTAATAAAATATATTTTAGTAATAATTTAAATTTTTTAGAATAGAATAGAAATCATATAATAATTATTAAGTTTTCTATATTATAAAAAATAGAAATTAATATCATTTTATTATTAATAATAATAATGATTATTATATTTTCAAATAATTATAATACTATATAATTTATAATTATTATTATATTATATATATAGATTAACTCCCAGTTAAAAATTCATTAATGATATCATTTTTCAATATTCATAATTAAATTTTAAAAAAATAATAATATAAAAATTATCTCAATGTTATCCTACAAATTGATAGCTCAATGATTTAAATCTCTTTAAAAATAAACGGCAATCAATATATATATATATGATTGTGAAATGTATTAATAAAATAGTTAATCAAACAATAAAAAAATAATTTTAAAAAATAAATTATACCATAAAAATATCTAATTTATTGATAATAATAATAATAATTTTTATTGTTATTATTATTTTGTCATTAAAAAATAATTTTATACTTTTTTATTATTATTTGATATCTATATTATTATTTAATTATTTTTTTGCTATTATTTTCTAAAATATCTGTCAAATGTAATCAAATATTAATAATCTTTATCGCTATTCAACTGTCGATTATGTTTAATAAAAATTTATGATTATTATAATTATTATTATTATTAATGTAAATTTTAATTAAGTGCAGCATTATATAAATATATAATTTATTTTTTATATAATAAAATTAAATACTATTTACATTATAGTAGTTAATTTCCATTAAAGTAAAATAAAAATTTTATAGTAATAATAATAATAATAATTGATATGATATAAGTAAATACTATAGAGAT